GACATAGTAGGGTTTCTGAGCTGATCTTAATTCATCGTTCAGGTAGAACTGGTAAGGCGTTGCAGGCGTAGATCTACATACTGTTGAATTTCGTTTGACGAAAACTCCATGTTGTAGATGTTTTAAAAATGTGGTCTGATGTTGAATTTTTTTATAGGAGGCAGAAGGAAATGGGCTCACTAAAGAACATACTGTTGTGGCACCTGCCAGCGGGAACGTTGCTGTTGGTATAGCACTCGCTTGTGCTGTGAAGGGCTATAGGTTAGGCTTGCTTCATTTATTAGGTCTATCTCGTATCTCGATCCCCAAACCCACGGCCAAACTCAAACTGTGTTACAAACAGATGGACGCTTGACACTCTTAGAGCACGAAGTATGAGGCGATTGTTATGCAATAACAAGCTCGTGAAGAACGTTGCCAGGCTTGAGAAATTCATTATTAGCGCTTCATAATTTGGCTCTGAACTTCATTCCCTATTTCTGAATATTAATGTTCTGGGTTGCTCCTCGACCGAACCTTGTCCATTCTTTTGGTTTTCTCCGCAACCGTTCGCTCTGAGAAAGTCATGGCTCGCCACTGTTGAACCTTCTCGTAATGTTTTTCAAGTTTTCTTCTCATGGCGCTCTATTGTGCTTCTATCTTGATCTTCATGATTGCTTTTAGATTCCTGCAATTCTGTAGTATAGCAGCTCAAGCTGAGTTCGCCACTCATGTTGCTAGATGTGTTGGCTTCAACGCACACATAAGTTTGAGGCTGTAGAAGGGTCTCATCAATTTTCAACCATATAGCTTTTCACCATCTTGGATAATTGGACCGATCATATGAGGCAAATGAGAACTTTGTTAAAAAAATCTGGTTTTGTTCATAGCATCGTTTTGAAGATGAGAGGCAGAATAGTACTACGCCAAGCTCTCCTCTTTCCTTTGACAACGTGGGAACGCAAGGCTGTACCGCCATTCTATTTCCTCCAGAGCAAATGACACATTTCTGTTCATTTTTTTCTTAAAGGCCATTGTCCTGTAATCATGCGAACTCTGCAAGTCTGACTCAGGTCTTCACCAGAGAGGGGTTCAGCATAAACTTCACAGTGCAACTAGGGATTCAATACGCATTGACTGACTCTTGCGCTCATGATTTAAAAGTTTGACTCTGATACCTTTGATCTCAACGGTAATCGTTTGTTATCGTCGGTGGGAAATCTAACTCTCCCTTTGATGGGTCTACTAGATAGCGTATTCCCCATAGCTGAGCAATATGATTAGTCAGTTGAAGCCTTAAATGAATCTTCAATTAGTTCTTAGACTAGTCCCTAACGCACTATTTTTGCCGCAGCTTTGGATGACAAAAAAGGAAAGTTTGTGCGAAATTATATCTTCACTGCGAAGTTTTTTCGAAATGTACCTCCAACTGGGTATGGTGAAAATGCCCACATTGAGAGACTATTGTTCTTCACGAGTGGCATTTGGTGGTCATTTAATTGTGAGCTCGAACATGACCAGGGATCGTTTCGACGGTCTTTTACGAGCTTTGCATCTGGTCGACAACAGTGAAAATGCTAATGAGGTCCGACTTTTAAAATATCTCATTTTTTGAAGTTGTTCGACGAACGATGCACGAGGTACTGTTAAGCCGGCAGAAAAGTCTGTATTGATGAGTCATTAGTTCCCTTCAGAGGAAAAATTTACTTCAAGCAATATATTCCTTCGAAAAAGCGCTGGTATCAAACTTTTTAAACTTCGTGCGGAAGGAGGATATACTTCAGAAATCAAAATCTATGCTGGAAAAGTTCCTCACAGAAATGGGCCATTAGCAGACCCGGTAGATCTTGAACTGATGGAAGAGTTTCTGGACCAGGGTAGAACACTATGTACTGACAACTTTTATTCAAGTGCAAACTTCGCCGAAAAACTGCTGGCGAGGAAGACAGAACTGACTTGTACACTGAGAAGAAACTGTAAAGGCTTACCAAAAACGATCAAAGGTAGAAAGCTGAAAAAAGGTGAAATTTCCCCCTTACAATACAAAAACGAATCACGGTATTGAAATGGAAGGACAAGCGCGACATTCGCGATTTCTACCTGTAATGACGCCAGCCTTGGTAGAAGCATGAAACCAGTGGTGGTTAACGACTACAATACCACGAAGGGTTATGTTGATCAATCGGACCAAATGGCCACATATACCCCGTTCGTTAGGAAAACGTGCAAATGGTGGAAGAGGATTTTCTTTCATTCGATCATCCGAACCGACCGTTATTTCTGCGTTGATTGTGTTAATAAATCACGAAATTTGTACTTCGTGATTGATATAGTTACTATTGCATGCTTATGGTTATTGTTATTATTCTTGAAACTGCAAAATTAGGAAATTTTTTTAGGATCACGATATATGTATAGTTTCATTTAGGCCTGATGCAATGTTTTGAGAAGGAGTATTGTAAAAAAGTGGAAACAGATGAGTAAAACAAAAAATACGACTGTAGTCCATATGTGGACTGCATCGACGTCAATGGGTTAAACCTACTTACGGAGAAAACAGTACCTGTAAATAGGGAAAGAAAAAAGCAAAACAAAAAATGTAATGTATTAACGTGAAACAGCCTATCAAACAAGTAGTAGCACGGTAAGGTTCAGTTTTTATGCGACATGATGTTCCTCCTTGCTTTTACCGCTTAGCGTCGATGTTTCGTCAGGGCAAAGCACTGCTGAATTTGAACTGACTTGGTTTCGACTTTGCGCACCTTTTTCGCAGTACTTAACATTTGGTTTCTCTGCAAAACATTCATCTCGTTCGGGGGACGTGCACTACGTGCGTCCGAAGATGCGCGCGGCAACCTGCGCGGCGAAGTTCGTGACACGACTCTGACACCAATTTCCGGGGCACAAACTCGAAGCAGAGTAGTTTAGTAGGGAGCGGGATTTGGGCTGATAGGCGCTAAAGTCGTTTGAATCGTTAACAACTTAGCCACGCCATTTGCCGCAACGTCCTCGAACGCACGTAAGTCAACATACCCCTTTCGTTCTATTTTTTACCTTCCTAAACTAATTGGCTACTCAACCAAATGTCTCTTAGTTTCTGTAGACATTTAACATTAGCATTTCAAAAAAGTGAGAAATGATACTACTATACTTTCGCTCATTCTCTCCAACTTTAGGTGCATTATCGTGAGTCCAGAGAGATCCAGTCGTGATATCGAGGATGTATTAATTGCTCTTGGTGCAGAGGTTTGCTTTTCACTCTGTGCGATGTTTGTTAGAAAGTAATAGATCAAGCATTCTCCAATATGCACTATGATACAGTGCGTTCAACCACGAAGTTAATTTCCTCCATTACCCCGTCCCACATTGACTTATTCAAGGTAAGGTGGTTGAAAGGTAATGACGCACTTGAAACGTGTTTGAGTGTTTTATTTAAGCACTTTATCCAGTTAATTTTTTTTGTCAACAATGCTCTGGAGAAGCGTAGGCTAGGGAGCGGTGGCGCTAGGATTCAGCATGACAGCGTCCCAACGTCTTGGCACTCTGTGAGACGATGCCACAAGCACACCTTCGATTTCCTCCCGTATCTCGTCACTTCTTTTCTGACCAGCTGAACGGACGAAACAGACAGGCTATGTTTCGAGGGCAGGTCAATAATGACCTCACTGTCCTTGTTTCCGCTGTTTTTTCACTTTTTCTAGACATATCGGGTGTGAAGTTGTGCCCATAAAGGCTTTGCGCTGTTATGATGGCTCAAAGTCCCTGGCCCTATTGAACATCTTCTCGTATTCAGGTTATTACGATAATTACGTTCTCTTGAATATTCAGTTTACAGTCAAAAAGAGACCGCGGAACTCTAAGTGACTCGAGTCTAACTGACTCCTGCGTACTTGTGTAAGACGAACGCATTTTGTATCTTTCGAGCCGAATATTAAAGTCATATATCACCAGCATGATTCAATCACAAGTACCTTGAATTTTGGTCACACTACGCGCTGTGGCATATAATATATTTAGGTAGTTCTCATAAATTGTGAAGCAAGCCAGAAGAACGCCTCTCACTGCGACTACGCGAAAACCCTCGCTCAGGGCATCAAGAATTCCTTTCTTCTCGATGAGGTATGGTTGCGTCCCCAGTGTATATATCCACTCTTATTTTCTACAACTTGTGTTCACAGAAAACTTCTGCAGTCAAATCCTTGGCTCATTCTGAGAATACAGCCGTCGAAATAGCCACCGCTCTTAACAATAAGGTGAGGTCATCTGTTGCTCGCTACGGAATACCATAAAAAACCTGCATGTTAAGGTGGATTTGATCGTAGTTCCCATGAGAACAGGAGCTGCTTATACGGGCATTTCCAAGTACGTCAAAGAACATCTTCCTGGTACGAAGGTTCGTTGGTCTGTAAAATTTCTTCTCTTATACTTACCGATTTTCGCTTCTTTGCATTGTTCTTAACCATCGCTTGCATATACGTATAAAACTCGATACCGCAAAAATCCCCATGAACTACGCTTTTGCAAAAATCACCATGAACTACGCTTTCGAAAATTTAAAAACTAAGAAGAACTGGTCAAAGGTTCTTTATCAGGCAGCGTACTCGAAAGGTGAGCTTTGCCAGAGTCAAAT